CCCCTTTGTTATCAAATTTTATTCATTTCGCAAGCTTTTAAGGTAAAATTTTGGAATGATCTTATGCTAAATTTTTTTCTCATGCCTTGAAGCCAGCGCGAATTGTCAATTTAACTTTATTGAAAACACGTTGTACTTTGGGTCAAGCTCATACAGAAATACGTTGTTGGGAAGCTTAAAAAAGCTCCTGCAAGTGCAGCTGATTGCACTGTTGCATTACTACAAAATCCAGCTGCATACTTTTAGGCGCATTAGTTTAAATGAAGAGTTGCATATTTTATAGTAACTCCACATGTTGGCATACGAGTAGTTATTAATTAAGTTTTGCAATTATAATAATTATAATTTATTTTCTACATTGCTATGTGTTGTTTTATTAAAAAAAATAATAATTAAAAAAAAAAAAAAATTATAATTAAAAAATCAAACTTTATATTTTAGATTACTTATGTTCATTTGAATGTTCAGTAGTTTGCTTTATTGATTTCACTTCATTTAATAATTTTTATAATCTTTCTTTTACTATTATATATAAATATGTTTGTTTCGTTTCCATTTATTTATCATTTGTCTTAACCTTTCTTTGGTACTAAGTAGTAGAGAAATAGATGGCAATGTCAAAAAAGAATTCATTATTGAATTAGTAAAAATATGTATGTATGCATTTAGGCTTTATGCTTTGTTTGTATGTTTGTATATTACAAGAGGTTTTCTTTTTGTTGTTTTACTTTTCCTTTTCATTTTCACTTTTACTTTCGTTATCTTCATATGTAAGCAAATGCAATGATGGTGTAATAAAGTACATATGTATATATAATATATTATTTATTTACCTATTTTAATATTTCTTGCATGTTCGTGTGTATGTAGTGACGCACTAGTTTAGTACTCTTCAAATCTTCTTTTTCTTTAATTTTTGTTTTTTAAACATTCTTGTAACTAAACTAAGAAATTTGTTTGTATATAAATAGTATGTACATGGGATTATGTACAATTGTGTATATATGTGTGTGCGTGTATGCATGTACGTGTGTGTGTTTGTAAAAGTGTTTATTTGCGCCAATGTTTTATTAATAGAAATAGTCTAATTTGTATGCAAGTGGTAGACTAGAAGAGTTAATTTTTCATACAATTTATGCAAGTAAATTGTTACTTTACCGTTATTTATGTGTTTTCAATAATCACTTTTAAATTTTCTTCAATTTCCATTATTAAACATTTTTTGTCTTTATGATTTCTGCGATTTTTTTCGTTTTAACATTTTTTCTCTTATCATCTCTGCTTTTATTACTTTTATGCTATGTGTATAGAAATTCTTTTTAATTTCATTTAATTATTACTTTTAAATTATTAATTTTTTTAAATTAAAATTATTATTTTTCATGAAAATATTTTTTTTTATATTGTTATCTGTTATTTTGTTTTATTAAATTTGTTTAGTTAATTTAATATACATATAATTTAATTTATTTTAAATTAATACATAATTTTGTTTAATTTAATTAATTTTTTTTCATTTTCACTTTTTAATCTTTCATCTCACTACCAACTGTTTTTTTTCATTTGCTCAGCATTTCATTTCTTCATTTTTGAATAATTTGTTTTGATAATTTTTCCTTTCGCTTTAAATGCATACTAATGGAATAATCTTAATAATAATAAATACGATAAAAATATGCTTTATTAAAAAATAATAATAATAGTGTGGCGCATACATTTAGTTTCGAATCAAGTTTTTCCTCCCATATTGCATTGTGCAGTTTAATATTTCGCTACAAAAAAGGAATTTTCAAACTTTTTTAAATAATATTTTTTTTTTTTTGAAACTTTCCATTAATAGATTTCTGTGGTTGAAATGCTCGTTCATCAGATTGGTTCCAATAGAAAAATAAAATTGTAAAAAACTTTCGATTTTTAATATTTTGAAGGAAATTTTTATGTATTAGTTGCACAGCAGCAGGGTTGTATTTAAAAGTGAAAAATGAAGATCTTAAAAAAATTAAGAATGTAGTTGTTGTTGTTAGCAAAAAAATATTTGTTAATGCTGCACCATTTGGTTGAGTCTGCATTTATAAAGTTAATTTATGTTGAAATTTTTTATATTATTTTCGAAAAATAAAATTATTTTTAAATTTACTATAATTTTTTTTTTTTAATAAAATTTGTGATTGTGATAATTAAAAAAAATAAAACAATAATTAGAAAATTTTTGTTGGAAAACAAAAAAAATTTCATTACAAATCATAGCCATAATATGAATAATAAACAAATTTCTATGCTTGCAGCAACATGATATTGAACAACACTGAATAACGTCACTTAATGCAATTAACTGTAATAATTACAATTAGGACTGAAGCAAACATACATTTTTGCCACATTTTTGAACGCTCTTACACTATTCTTCTAAATATTCTGATTACACTTTCAACTTTTCTTTAAATGCAAAGTAAATCGACTATTTTCAATAATCATGATCAACAAACTCTATATGTACGTATATATGAGTGTATATATATAAATAATTTTATATATATGCACACTAGATAATTTAATAAATCAGTTAGTTGAGAAAAAATTCTTGAAAACTTTTATTGTGTGCATGTATCTGTGTGCTTTTGCCGTGTTAATGCTTGTTCTTTTTTGTTGATTTACGTTGAAATTGTGGCATGCTGCTCGTAAAGCAATCCACACCCATAATTTTAGTTTCAAGAATTCTTATGCCTGTGTATGTGTCTGTATGTTTATGTAACTTCTCATTTACACCGCTTTCAAAATATGTTTATGTGATTTTTATACTCCGCGGCATCAAATAGTTTACAGTTAATAAATTTGGGTTTGAACCGTTTATTTATGACACGAAATTCACTGGCTGCAACGATGAAAAGTGCACTCACATATGTTTGTATGTATGCACACATGTTTAGTTGTAAATATCTTGACGATTTTCATGTATGTGTGTGTGTATGTGTTTAGTAAACAATTAAAGCAAATTATTTTAGGCTACAAATTAGATTTAACATCCATACTTTGTCTACCTAATACATTTTAAATATATTTATTTCATTATCTTTTCATTTTACGTTGCATTTTCATGCAATCTAATTTCACTGCACACACATTTTATTATTACTATGTTATTACTAAATTTGAAGTTAAGTGATTCTCTTTTACTCTCTCTTTTATGTACTTATGTGTATGTATGTGTGTATATTTAATACGATTTCACACTATCAGTTTTCAAAGATTTTTACAAATTGTTTTTTCACACTTGTTTTTTCTAATTCACTTTATTTCAAAATTATCGTTTTCTTTTAGTAAAATTTATTTAAATTTTTAATAAATAATTACAGCTCAAGTTGTAGGCTGATTCTGTTGACTTTTATTCACTTCCTTTGTTACCAGCTTCTTTGCTATCTATTCTTTTATTCATAAACTACTTTTTACGTTCGCTGAGTGAAAATGCAGAAAGTGGAATTTTAAGTTTAAAGGTAATTAAATACAATAATTTGTTTGTATTTATGTATATGTGTGTGTGTTTGCTGTGCGTCTTTGAATATCATTATTTTTTCTCGTTACTGTTAAACTGAAAATAAATTAGTTTTGTCTTAACCATACATTAATTATGCACAAATAGTTATATGTATGACATGGCGTATGATGAACCTCCAATGAGTTTGAGTTGGCTGTGTTGGCTTTTGTTCATCCTAGAAAGTTGCGTATACGACATGGCATCCCACGCATAAACTTTTTCACTAAAACTTTGTGAAGATGGAGTTGGTCGATGGCCGATTATAATTTGTAACCCACAATGGTGGTGCACACATTGTTGTTGTTCTTGTTGCTGTCGTTGTTTGTACTTGTTGAAATTAAAAAGTTTCTAGAAAATTAGTGCTATATGTGGCATATATGTTGGTATGCGGTTGGTTTTGTCCCTGAAAATCATATTTTATTGTTGTTGTTGTTGTAATACAGTAAAAAGGTAGTGAAAGCCTAGTGACATCTTTAGCTACGATTTTCTCTTCAATTGAGCGATGTTATGAAACGCGTAAAATTATTAAAAGGGATAAGAGATCTATAAGCGATTGGCTCGTCTCGATGACGTAGTTCATTTTTTCTTCTTCTTATTTTCAAGATATTTCACAAATTTTAAAAGAAAAATTTCCGAAACGAAAAAATAAAATTATTTTTTACACAAAAAAAGCTATACTGAAAAAAAAATTTATTTTACATTTTTAATACAATGATAAACTAATTGAACATGATTAAACGTGTGCAATGAAATATTTTTTTATAAAAAATAATTAGTTATCTCCAAAAATATATATAAAATATACAAAAAAAAAATAACATTAAAAAATATTAAAATTAACTCTTTAGTTGTATTTTTTTAAATTAAAAACACAAAGCTACTTGAAATTAATTTTTTTTTATTTAAAATTAAAAGTCAAAATTATATCCTTGATTTTCTTTGTTTTATATTAACACATTTTATTTTAATGTAAGAAATATAAGAATGACTTCCTTTTATTTTGCAAAATCACATTTATTAGTTTTTTCAATAAGTCCATTAATATCAATCGTATTATTACATAGTATGATAAAAAAATGTTTCAATTTGGAAAAAATGATCTCATTGCTTTGTTTTGATAAAAACTTAAAAAATGACACTCCATCTAGTATTAATTTTTTAAATCGAAAAGTTGAATATTGTGTATCATAATAGACGAAATATGATATTTAAATTTTTTTCATAAAAATCAAATAATTTTTTTTTCAAATTTAAACTTTAATTTTTTCAAAATATTTTTTATTATGACACAAAATAATATTTTTTATTTATATATTTATTTATCATGTTACATTTCATAAAAATATTATCATTATTATTTAAATTATTGAAAATATTAATAAATTTAATTTTGTAAAATGACTTGTTTTAATTAAAATAATTTTAAAATGAAAAGAAAAACATTCCTCTTTAAATAAAAAACACAATATTTACAAAATATTGAAACACTAAAATAGTTGGCGTAAACACGTTTATTATTAACCCATAAACATTTACTACTACCCTCAGCATGTGGTAGTGGAACTCATTAATATTACGGTAAAATTTGTGTTCACACCAATTTATCTATTACCTATTATAACTAAATTTTATTGCAAGCGAAACATTTGCAAAATACTTGTTGCACACTTAAATGATATTTTTTAAATACATATTTATTTAGGCTTTATTTAAAACTGATTTTTGGTACAATTGCAACTTACGAGTATGTGGATAATACGTAAGAGTAAGTATATCTGTGCGTAACAGTGTACATTTTATTTATTTAAAATAACTTAATTACGATAGCATCGAATCTATATATAAATATATATATTTATTTATATATATACATACATATATAGAAGAGAAAAGAATAGAGAGTAAAATAGGGACTTTTAAAAATTTTATACAAAATTAAAGAAAATGAAGAAGTTTATAAAATATTCGATAAGTATAGGTCAACAAAATAATAACAATGCGCTTATATTGTTGAAACGCGAAATTTGAAGAAACTCAAGAGAGCGATGGCAACTTAAAGCTAAACATTTATAAAATTAAGAAAAGTGTACAAATTTCGATGCAGTTTTTATAAACTAAATAAAGAAAAAAGGTATAAAACATAATTGTGATTAGTTAGTGAATAACTGTAGGTAAGCAGTGAAAATAAGAAATTAAGAAATCAAATCAGTTGCTCTGAGCAGAAAATTGTAACATTTTACTAGACAAAAATTCTTTATAGTTAAATATTTGACATGGCATTCATGTGATGTTGTGTAGTTTCTAAATTCTTTACATAATTTGCTTTTTTTTTTTAAAACATTTTTGAATTTTATTTAATAAATTAAACTAAAACAAAATATTTTACTGGTAGTTATTTTGCAAAACAAAAAGTCAAATGCAATTAAAAATGCATGTATGTAAGTAAGCGTGAATCATTAAAAATATAAATAAAATATAAAAAAGTAAAAAAAAATCATTAGTCATTACATTAAAAAATAAATTCAATTATAACGAGCTGGCAGCTCATACGCAATACATATACATTTATCATAATACATTATACATACATATATATCATAAACAATAATAATTATAATCATTAATAATAATAGTAGTAATCATAGTACAATATAAACAATTACACACAAAACGTGTTAAATGCCATTTTACTAAATACATAAATATATTTATTTTAATTTATTATACATTTTAATTTTAATGGTTGAATATGCATTTAAGTATAAATCTCACGTTTATATTACATTCTTTTTTAAATGTATTTTTTATTGTTTTTATAACTGTACGTATGTTATGCAATTGTGATGTACGGTATTGTACGCCTGTTTATGTATGTGCGTGTGTTTATGCGTGCTAGAAATATGTATATACAAACAAAAATTTTAAATTAAAACAAAATTTTGACTGAAAGAGAGGCCGTGGCAGCGCAATAAATAGAAAAAGATCGTGTACCGCATTTTTATGAATCGCAAATTTTTGTATGAAAATATTTGGAAATATCATATCAAATATCGTCCGGCAGCTCTAGTTTACACATAAAAATTAAAAACCTTCAAAACATGCAGAAAATATTGCAAATAACGCTAACTATTTTTCAAAATATTTAACATGGTGATAGAGTATTATAAATATTTTAAACTCTAAGAAAATTTTAAAAAATTTACATTTTTATTTTGAAATATTGAATTTAATTGGACTTTTCAATTTTTTTTAAAGGAAATTTTTAAACGAATTATTATAAAAAATGTATCTACAGTTCATTAACCAATTCGATTAAGACGAAAAATTTTATTAGTACAAATCTTTTATGTTTGTTTCGTCTAACTTCAAATATTGCAAAATTCATTCACATAATTTCTTCAATTTGACCAGTGAAAATATTTTTTATGCATATTTGATCACGTTTTAAATGCTGTAGACATTTTATAAACATTTTCTCACGAAAAAAGTGCGTAGAAATTCGAAATACGCACTAAACCGTATACATTTTTTAGGTTATGTCGATACAAATTACTTTGATTTAAGTTACGCATATTTCCTTTATATTATAAACATATTTATGCGCTCTTAGAAGATCATATTTATCAATCATAACCGCTAACAAATGCTAAATGCACTCAAAATGCTAGAAAAAAAATTAAATTTTTTGGACAGTTTATTACATTTCTTTCTAGAGATTAAAAAGTTGCCAAAAGAGTCGACGACAACAAAATACAATTTGCTCAGACCAAAATAAACCTAACCTCATTAATACAAAGGATAAAAAACAAATGATTGAACCAGTCTGTAATTGAACATATTAAAAAAAAAAACTATTAATCAAAGAAATGTATATATTATATATATGTATACAAAATATTAAAAAAAAAATTAATAATTCCCTTGAGTTGGAAAAAATTATAAAAACATTTTTTAACAAAAATTAAAAATTTTCCAGCACAAGTCAAATTGTGTCGTCTATCATAACATAACAGCATATTTCATATTTTCTTTTTGTATTAAAATTTATCATAAATAATCTCTAAATTATACATTTGTGTGTTCGTTTATGTTTGTGCTACTTTTAAGTTATGCATTTACGCATGTATGTATGTGGTAGTGTGCGTGTGTCCACCCCAACAGCGTACTCACTAACAAATTCAATCAATCTATTTAAATTATATATGTACTTGTATATTGTGTCAATAGTTTAGCAAATGGTCAGTTGTTTTGTTGTTGTTGTTGTGTTGTCTAAGTATCAGCCTAATGTAGTTTATACATATACAGTAAACTAGTGTAGAAGTAGTGGTGAGTTTTCTCGAAATTGAGTTTTCTGCTTTTGATTTACTTCAAATTCTGTACGGTTTACTGTTGATCTAATATGTTCATACATACATACTTGTACATATATGTATGTGTATATGTACTTAGTAAACGGCTTTTTTTACAATGTTGCGGAATTTTACATTACAATGACCTGGTTTTTTCGCCTTTTATAATACTATATAAATTTATACTTTTGGTTTTGTGTTGCCAGTTTTTAATCTCAATTATGATTTAATTAATTAAATTTTCTGCATTATTAGAGTTTTTTTTGTTTTACTGCTTTAACTGCTTTCTCTGCTTCTACTACTTCATTTTATCATCGTTTTTTGTTTTTGTTTTTTTTAGTAAGCTTAATTAGTAATAATGTTTCTGGTGTGTGTTTATGTGTATGTACGTGTGTGTGTGCGTGTGTGTGCGTTGGTTTTTGTTCAATTTGCTTGACTAAAATGTACATTTCGCTCCTTCACTGTTGTGTTACGCTTTAGCTTACGCTTTCGGCGCCAATTTGTTTAATGCAACGCCTTAACAAATCATTTAATCAGTTATCCATCACTCACCGCCATCGTTGGCATTTACATGTATGTATGTACATAAATTTCTGGTAATTTAAATTGGTATCGATTATTTTGTAAAAATAACTGTAAAATATTGGAGTTAAAAATATTTTTAACAATACTTTTAAATTAATTTAACTGTTCACCAGCACATTGTATGCTGTAAAAATATATAAATTTGTCATTATCACTGACATGAGCTCAGTAGTTGAGCTTAGTTTTCTTAGTTTTCGAAAAATGTTCGCATATTCGAAAGACATTTTCTGATGAAATTTTTTAGTAGTAGCTTTAGCACTGGCTGCACTTGTGTCACTTCTTGTTGTTGTTGTTATCATAATTGTAGTTGTTGTAACTGAAGCGGTGGTGATGGAGTCCGACAATGATTTTTCGCCATGCGTTGCTTGGTTCGTTTGCTGCGCTGTAATTAACTGCTGCTGCTGCTCTTACTGTTGTTGTTGCTGTTTAATACAAACCGCAGCCGCGCAGATTGTTGGCAATAATGACATCGGTAACAGCGTCGAAAACAAACTGTATATTATTTGTATCTGTGGCGCACGTCATGTGGCAGTAGATTTCCTTTGAGGTTGATTTGTTTTTCGCTTCGAATTGAGCTTGAATGTAAGCAGCAGCTTCGCTGTATTCTTGACCTCCTGCAAGTGGAAATATCATTGTTAAAAATAATATAAATACAGTTATTACAATTTATGCTGCTTTAATTTACAAAATAACTGTTTGCGGCTATTTAAATCGTGGTGAAGTTTACCTGTATATTCAGGGAAGCAGATTGTCAATGGACTCTTGCGAATCTTCTCTTCAAACAAATCTTTCTTATTCAAGAACAATATAATAGATGTATCAGTGAACCATTTGTTGTTGCAAATCGAATCGAAGAGCTTCAATGACTCTTGCATACGGTTCTGTAAAAAGAAATAACAATAAAAAAGTCAAAAAGGGTAGAAAGCTAAAAATTAAAAAAATATATACTTGTATATTCGCGGTTAACAATATACTGAAATTTTCGACTTTTTAAATATAACAAGGGAACCTTCAACTTATTTTAGTTAAGTAGATTTTGGTATGTAATCAGATGCGGTTCATATTCGATAAGAATTTTAGGCTCATACTATTTTTACAGGGTGTATTAAGTTTGCCATGATGTTTGTAACATTGTCAGAGACCCTATAAAGTATATACATAAATGAACAGCGCGACGAGCTGAGTCGATTTAGCCATGTCCGGCTCTATATACGAACTAGTCACCCACTTTTTGAGATATTGATCTGAAATTTTGCACTCGTCCTTTCCTCAACAAAAAACTGCTCATTTGTCTGAACGGGTAATATCGGAGTATTATATCATATAGCTTCCATACAAACTGAACGATCGCAGTAAAGTCCTTGTATGGGAAGCTTTTTAAGAGATATCTTCAAGAAATTTGGCTTGAAGTATTGTTTAAGGCAATGGTGTAATCTCTGAAAAAATTGTTCACATCGAATAACTATAGCATATAGCTGCCATATATCTTTTGTATTTGTGAAGGGTATTATTGCCTCGGTGCAACCGAAGTTAAAGTGTTTTATTGTTTTTCTTTTAATATAATCTGTATTCGAGCAGGTATTTTTTGTTCAGGGTATAAAAAAAACAGATGGTCGGTTCGTGGAACGTGGAGAAATCGTAAATATCAATACTTTGCAAATTTACTCGAATATCCTGAAGTGTATTGCTAACTTGATCAATAGGTTGGTGATTATTGCAATGGTAACAGTCCTTTAACTCAGTCAAGAAGGCTAATTGCAGCTTTGTTGTTATAGATGTCCACGTTGTTGTGAAATAAAACCTTGTTACGTTTTCTAATATTTGTTTCGAGTTGGTCAATTGTACAAAAATATATCAGGTAAAGTCCTCATAAATTATAGGTTCTCCGTCAATGCCATCTCTTTTTAGCAATCGAAGGTAATTTTTGTAGACGAAATTTATTTGCTTGATGCGCAGTGTGGGGTTGCGCGCCGTTACCTTGTTGACATGTGGGCAGACATAGTGAGTCAATATATACGAACTAGTATTAATATTAAATATATTAATATTGCCCAATGTTTGCTTCGGGGCAAATGCCATTCCAATCAATCACATTTTGATCATTCATGGATCTAATGGCTAATAATAACTCTAAAATTTGTTCGAAACCGAATTAGTCTTGGCTTTTTAGGAAGTCGACATTTTAAGGAAGCCAGTGAAGAGGGAAACAAGAAAATCGGACGCAGTATACTAAGAAATATATTGAAACATAACCCGTTATGTCGTTGTTGTAGCGATAGAAAGCATTCCCAAATATTTTCGAAGAATGGTACTGAGTTGATAATTATTGGTTAGAGAAAAATTCGGGTCCGTATCTATTACACGATTGACGTTGTAACCATAATAAGCTTCGGAGGAAGTTTGAACTATGTTATTGAAAACGTCATTGTTAAAGACACTTCAGCATAGACATTATCTTATTGTAAACAACTTTAGAAAAAAAAACCATATTAAAAATTAAGTGTTATACCAACTCACCGTAGTCTCATCTTCATGCAAGACCTGATCATACTCAGACATTGCAACACAGAAAATGATCGCTGTCACATCTTCGAAGCAATGTATCCACTTCTTTCGCTCTGAACGCTGACCACCGACGTCAAATAGTCTATGAAAAAAATGCAAAAATATATAATTTTTAGTAATAAATATATAAGATTTTCGAAGATTCTACATAAGCGGGTTGGTTACTCACTTGAAATTGAGATTTTTAAATGAGAAATGCACTTCAACAATACCGGTCGTCTTGACACGCGTGCGTAGAATATCCTGTTCGGTCGGCTGATAATCCTTGGCACCTAACCGATCCAAATCGTCGAGGAAACTGCAAGCAAAAAAAGAAAATATTGTGTTGAGTAAAAAATTAAGCAATATTGTTTGTTTAAATATTTGCTATAATTAGTTCAAGTTCTAGGGGAGATTAATTCTCTTTCACTTTCTTCTTATCAAGTGGATTTAAATTAAATTTCAGCATTGGCAACATGAGTCCGAGCCCTTGCACGTGTGGGAGAGTTAAGTGCAAAACCAAATCAAAGCCACAAATTCAATAAGTATCAGCCCTAAAGTGGCTTTAATACAGAACCAAGCCAGCACCACAGTGCTGCTAAGCAAACATATTTTGCAATTAGTAGCTGTAGGTATGTATATACGAGTATATATTGGGTGTACAACGCATTGGTGCCACAACAGCGAGACCACAATGTTGCTAATAACACTTGATGAAGGCGGTGCCAGCACTTGTGGGAATGCAATTTTATATGTATGGATATATTTTACAGTTAGCTGCGGAATTGAAACGCGTGTGGTGATACCTATAAATAGCTACGTGTGTTGGACATGCCAAGGGTGCATACAGTTTGGACAAAAAGTCGAATTTATGTGTCCGAGCTATGGATGGACCGAATGATTTTGATATTATATATATATGAGACAAGTATATATATCAAATCGGAATGAAAGAAATGAAAAATTTCAGTCAAGTAGTAGATGTCTTAAGCTTTAAGTGCTGTAAAAACAGCGAGGTACTCTAAAGAAAAATCAGGGTTCTATAGAGTCTTCTTTGACGGCATACAATAAAAAGACCGTTTTAAATCGAAATTTTAGAATTGGCAGCAAGGGTAAATGAAAAACCTTTTCTTCATTAAAAAAATATTCAGTCTAAGAATTTGAGAAGAAACTGAGTTGAAATAGGTGCGTGTATCTAGGAAACGGATATTGAACTCTCTATTATAAAGGAAGGCTGGTCCATGGTATTTTAGACATAGGTTTTCGGTAGCAAGGTAGCATAATTATTCTTGACATAGAAACAGCTGTCTTTCAAGCAATTATTTTCAATCCACAAGCTCATTATTGCCCAAATCATTTCACTTATACAGAGATAAAAAGCACAGTTTGGGAAAGAATTGACGCCGCAGCTGAACTGACACGAAAGGAATCTGCATCTTTGCAACAAAATAATACTGCTTTGTTAGCTTGGATAGATCCTGTAGAGTACATAGTAGGATCTATGATAAGCAGACTTCGTTTATTCATAGCCTCTAAAAAGCATACACATCTCTCCTATTGATCAGTTACTAGGTTGAGCCATCTGCCAGACCATAACTGCGATAATTCGGCTGGGTCAGTCTTCCAAGGCCGAATTCCAATTGAAAGCCAATTAGATAAACTCTTCGTTCCTTGGATTTTCTACAATCGATTTCTTGGTGAATTCGGAAATCACCTACCATGGTAACTGAAAGATATCAGACAACATCCGAGCATATACTGCATAACTGTTCAAAGCCGATTAGAGAAACTCTCCGTTTCTTGGATTTGGATTTTCTGCAATTATTATATATAATGGATAAATGTTTAACGACCGAACCAGTCATTTAGAGCCAATGTAAAATTTCTGGCACCCCCACTTGGTTATATTGAAATTATTTGCCTGCGTCTGGACAATTCTACAATTTAATATTTACTTTAACAAATTTTTTGCTTTTCCTTTTGTTTGTTCTTCTTTGGTTTTATGTTTTCCAAATTTATATTAGTTTCCCAAATAGTTATTGCTAAAGGTGTGAATTTGGCCCAAGTATAATATAAACGAAGCAACCATAATTGAGCAGCCTTGAGAATAAATTAACCTAGAACTATTTGCTGTCAACGAGTAACAAACTAAGTGATGCTAATTTTTAAAGTTGCGAAAATTCCTCCTCTGAGTAAAACAATGAAATTTTCTAGAATGCTGCAGCATATACAAATTGTATATTAATATTTACGTGTATTTATGTGTGTACATAAGAAATTAGCAACAGTCAGTCAGCAAGTAAACAGTTTAGTTCGATATCAGTTCGAGGTATGTCGTAGGGACTAAACTTCAACAAGCGCTAAGCTCGTAAATATAATATATATCGTAAGAAATATATAGCCCTTTTAGTGTCATCGCAACTTTGCCGGTCTAGTTTAAACTTAAAACTTTAAGCGCGTTTTTCTCGAAACTGTCTTTTTCAAAACTATACCCACGATTTCTCAGGTTCTACTAGACCGCTTTACTTGAAATTTTAAGAGAGTCGGCTTTATAGACTTGTCTATGCCCGGAACCATATCCCCAAACTTCAATTTATAATACAATATTTTTAAAACATTTGAAACAGTCTAAAAAAGTTATAAAAAAAAAAAGAGAGAGAGTGCGTGTGCCGTGCAAGTTTAAGTGGAATTGACAGAAGAACCATTTAAGTATAAGATTTTGAATGAAAAACTTGACGCGAGCAGGCATTTAGTGTTTAAAGAATTATAAAGAAACACGCTGTTTCTTCTAAAATGGTTATGCTTAAAGCTTTAAACGAAGTAGAATGAGTGAAGTCGACAGTTATCGAGGTCGAACGAAAGGGAATAGTGCACGCTCAAAATGTTTTTCTAACTACTGCTTAATATTGCTTTACTGCCGCTATTCGAACGACCGCTTTAATTGAGTATTGATGAAACAAAATTATGATTGAGTTGGTTGTGGACTAAAATTTGTGAATGAAGAAATTTAAAAATACAAGTTGTGAATTTAATAAGGATCAACTGTAACAGAAAATCGGAAACTCAGAAACAAATATTTGCTCATAGACTATAACTGACCCGCGTATTTAATTTATAGACGCGTCGCTGAAAAAATTACGACCAAGTCTTGAGCTTGAGGGCACACTAGTCCGAAATTTCGAGGAAATCAAAGTTTTTATTCTTGAGATGTCGATAGTCTATATCTTCAAAAATAACATACTAAAATTTTAAATGATAATTTCAAATATATTTTGAGTTACAGCCTGTTAACATAAAGTATAGTCGTCAATAGTTAATGTGTGGGCAATCAATTTATCTTTAAACGCGTTTTTCTCGAATTTTGCTGCAGTGATTACTCGGAGACAAATGATTTGATCACTTACAAATTATTACGGCATGGAATGTATAGTTCTCCATATAGTGGAGAACCTACCAGTTTTTTGATCTGATCATTTGATTTGGGAAAAACCGCCAAAATTTTGGGAAAATCATTAAACAAAAACAAAAAAAACACTGCATTTGTAATTTGTTTTTTTTCGACCGTACGTCATTGTGCGGACAATATCTACTACAAAGATTTTTCAAGCAGTGGAGGACCTGTCTTTAGTGCCATCGGAGATCATGTGTAACTCGAAAAATATTACATAAAATTTTCAAAAATATTACTGTTTATTCTTAAAATATAATATATATAATTTAAGTTTTAAAACGATTGATATCGTAGTTTTTTTCAGTTCTTAAAATCACGTTATTTAAGCTGCCATTAGGTGTGCGCCTTAAAACGCCTTTTCAGAATTTGACGAAGCTTGTCGAATAATCGACCGTAATACATTTCCTTTACTAATGTTGCCTATATAAGAAGCACTCAAAAATATGATAGCTCTTTTAAGAGCTCTAGGTCATATTAGATCCATTGGGGTGACTTTGACCATGGTTATATAAAAGGACGTCAACTCAGATGTATATTCATTTTAAGGTATGCTTTCGAGTTGACATTCTTGACCGTGCAAAAACCCAGGTACGTTCCGGTTATGTAGACTCAACAGTCGTGGGAATGCATCGACCTCGAACTGTTCGATCAAAGACCTTATTAACAGGGTTAAATATATTGGTATTTGGTTATGATATTATTAAACGAAATATAAGATATAATATCGTTTCTAACTTTGATAAGAAAACTGTCTAAAATCAAAATATTGGCATGGCAATGTAACACTGCTGTAATCCCTTAATTCTCTTTCAGTAAAGTCTTGAGACTATTTTCATTTAATAAATATGATCGCCGAATGCGATTTATAAATGCTGAAAGAATAATTATAACTAGAAAAGCTGTTTTAAATAAAGTTTATTTCTTTTTGTTTCTGCACAATATATGTGTTTGCATATCTCACCAAAGAATTAGGGACGAGTAGATGGTGTGGTATCATACTTCGCTGGAAATGCCTCAATCATTATAGACGTATATAAATTTATTTCTCTACTTGTTTGAAAATTTTGAGCTTCTGCCACTGACAGATATTGGCTGTCTTTTGCTATGATTTGAGATGTTATCTGACAAATGGAACTACTTTCGATTCAAGTAGCCTTCAAGTGTTAACAGAATTTGTAAGACTCTGCTAATTAATTCAAATGTTGTGGAAAAATATCTGAAGGCTGTTTTTATATATCTTTTATACCTGAACAGGGTACATTAATTTTGTCATGAAGTTTGTAACACCCAGAAGGAAACGTCTGGGACCTCTATATAGATATATACATACATGAGCACATACGAGCAGAGTTGATTTAGCTATGCCCGTCTAGTCTTTATATACACAAACTAATCCCTTTTTTGAGATATCGATCTGAAATTTTGCACATCTTTTCTTCCCAAGAAGCTGCTCATTGTGGCAACGCGGATATCGATCACTATGGATATAGCTGCTTTACAAACTGAACATTGACAAAAGTGCTTTTGGAAGCTTTTTATTTGACGAGATATCTTCAAGAAATTTGGCATAGGTTATTGTTTACGGCTATTGTGCAACCTCCGAAGAAATTGTTCAGATCGATCACTATAGCTATACAAATAGCTGCCATACAAACTGAAGGATCAAAATCAAGATCTTGTAAGGAATATTTTGTATTTGTGATGGGTGCGACGAAGTAAAGTCGTTTATACGTTGTAATGTAGTATACCAGTTCTTATCGATTAGACTCTCATTCAGTATGTAGTACCATTCCTTGGCTTAGCACAGATCACAGCTATCAATATGACACAATAAACTCTAGGCAATATCACTTGGTAGACGATTAGAT